TTCGGTGCAGCAGCATCACAAACACACTGCTGCCAGTGTCAGAGCCTGCTCACGCACCTGTCCTGAGTGTGCCTGCGCATAGCCATGTTACCCTGCGGCCTCCTGGCTTTGCCAATATGTGTATGTGTCTTCCTGTGTACCAGAAAAACAGTCTTAATAGGGTATAATCTAATTTAGCTTTAATCTGCTGATGTTGTAGATGATGGTTTTGCCAAGGGATTTCTAGGCAGAATTGTAAAAATTCTTTAAATTGGCAGATGACCAAGAGGGCTAGTTAACTTCTGTAAAACTCTTCAAGAGCTTTTGACTAAATGTCCTATGTAAATACATAACATTGGAACAACTAAATAATTCAGGGAAGGGTAATGTGCCTTTAGGTTGCTTCAGCAGGTGTTTTCTTCAACATGTACACAAACACACAAAACCACTGTCTTCTACCACAGTGAACCTGCGGAGTGCTGTGCCCCTTCTATAAAGCAGGGGCTGCTCTGTGCCACGGTGCTGTGGACACCAGACGTTCAGCCAGCAGCAGGCCCAGCCACGCTGGGAGAGTCATCACCGGCCCCATCAATTCTCAAGACAAACCGGGCTACTGTATTTGCAGATTTGGTGCGCTTGGAGCATGGCAGTTATGGCCTGTTGAAGTGCTTTCCATTTCCTGTGACATCTTGATAAACTTCATAGCTTCTAATTTGCTAGAGAGTCATTGATATAATTAGGACCTGCATAAATGGGAGTAGCACACTCAGCTGATGATAATCAAGTCAGTTCATTCTTCATAAGAAGTACTAAGGGGGTCCCTACCAGCAACTGAGACCATTTTCTCTAAGCTCTGCTTTGACAGAGCAGCAGAAATCCTTGCACTCCTGGGTCATGACATGTTTTATTATGGCCCGTTCCACTACCCATATATTTTTTCGTAAGGAAACCAAAGAAAGGGTATCCATCCATCTGTGTGTTTTCAAAAGGGGCAATCTGAGCTGTCTGTCCGTGTAAGCTGGCTGTGTTAACAAGCCTGTGAGAGTCAACAGCTCTCTTTTTGTGTGAGAGTGAGCGTTTCAAGTGCAAAGCTTTCATATTGCGGTGTGTGAGTTTGACGTTCCTCCACTCAAGTTGCACCAGGTTTTCAAGCAAAGTGGCGGCTTAACCAAAAAGTCTGGATCCATTCCAGTAGTCGATAAAAACTCATCTCCTGTACTCCTTGGTATTCAGACATGGTAAATAGTAACCTTCATCCATTCTTAGGCAGCTGTTGGTTGCCTTGCCCTGACCGTATCTTTCATGATATGTCACAAATTGTCTGAGGTATCGGTCAGCATGTCTTACTGCTCGCAGCCTGGCAGATTTATGACCAAGAGTTTTAGCAGCTTGTTTCTGTAAATAGTGTGTTGGTGAATAAATGTAAATAATTGATCAATCTATTATTCTCTTTTCTCTCTCTTTTTTTTTTTTTTTTTTTTCTCCTAACAGTACTCTCAACAATAACAACATTACCCGCATTCCTGTTACCAGTTTCAATCATATGCCAAAGATCAGGACTCTGTGAGTAATATCTTTGTATATAATAATAATAGTAATAATGATAATGATAATAATGATGATGATGATAATAATAATAATGATGGTGTAAGCCAACTCTTTGGATATTTGTCATCTTGTGATAATCTTACTTCAGTCTCTTCCCAAAGTGGACAATTCACCCTGCTGTCTTGAGGAAGACGGCCACTGACCAAGCCTGACCCTGTGAGGGCCATGGCCGGCAGGTCAGGGCCTTGCAAGCTGGACCTGTCCCACAAGGACCCCCCCACAGCAGGGGCAGCCTCAGGCACCTCTGTGGGGATGGGGAGAGCTGAGGCCAGGCCGGGACATCAGCCCATGGGTGGGGACCAGCTCAAACGGAGCCCATGGCCAGGCAGGGTGGGCTGGGGCAGGGCTGGAGACCCGCCCTGCCATGGCATCGCTGGGGCAGGGGCCGAGAGCCCGGGGCTGGGCTGTGTTGGAGTCCTGGGCCATGGCAGTGCTGGGGGAGCCCTGGGAGCCCCTGGTGAGGCCAGGCAGGGTTGTAAAGGCCACTGGTGCCCTCAGGGTCCTGACAGCAAGTTCACTGGATTTACCCAGGGTTAAGTAAGAATCAGTTTTATGAAGATTTTGAATTTACCCAGAAACGAAACTGGCATCTTTTTCCCATGGGAAAATCCATAATGTGAAAGGTGTTCCAAGCTGGAACACCATCAAAATTGTGAAAACTGCTCAGATGGCTCATATTATTTAATCTTGTTAATATCCTGTGTTTAAATCCTATTTCTTCTTTTCAAACTCAGAATACTTATTTCTGAAACACGAAATTTTTTTAGAGAAAGAACTTGAAAAGAAGCTTCTTTTCTGGATACTTTCTGAAAGAAAATGTCACTGATTCTGATGCATTTTTTTATAAAAGCTTCTCTTATGTCAAATCCATTTTTCTATAGCTGGGCACCATTCCACTGGAAAAGCTCTGATTGACCTTTGTAGACCAAAATACAAAGACTGTTAAATTATACTGTGTGCATTTGTATAATTTAGCCATAGCCTACCAAAAACATTTTCTTCAATAAATTATTCCTTTAAATTCCTTTAGGAAATATACAACTTCAGGAAAAGTCATGTTTAAACAAAGTCTCTCTGTTTTTCCCTCCAAAATCTCAAACTCAACCAAGATGTATTTAGTACTAAAAGCAAAGAAAGGGAAATAGTAGCTAGCCTGAAAATTTTCTATGGCACTGAAAAAATAAAATGCTTCAAGAATGCTACATATGCATGTGTAAAATCATATCAAATAAGTCAACAGAACTGAAGAAAAATGGCTCTTACTCATGTCAATCTATGTAAGAGAACCTTGGGGTTAAATTTACATTCTTCATTAAATGGTGACATTCATAGATCTTAATGTAAGTAATTAAATGGAAATGAGATGTTTGTCTTTTAGAAGAGATTGGATAAAGAAGATAAAGGTGTAGAGTCAAGGTTCCTGGAGTTTTGCCTTTTCTCATTCAGTCACATTGGACCAGAAAATTTGCCTGGCTTCTTCAGATTAGTCAGTCGTGTCTGCTACCAGAGCTCAATGCCTTCTGCCATTTTCCTTTTAGTTTAATTTCGGAGATGGCTTTGCATATAGCTCCCTGGAGACTTACACTGACTAATCCCCCTCTGTTGTAATTAAGGAGAAAAAAAAGGAAGGAAGTCATAAATAGGATTTATAAAGGGAAGCTTTTATATTGAATTCTGAGAGCCACATTTTATAGAACATGAATGCTGACCCACTGTAAAAGGATTTGCTGGAAATTTAATTTAGGGTCTGTGGCTAAAAGGGCACCTTTGCAAACTTGCATTCGTATTCATTCACCTCGTGCTGTAAAGGTAGTTTCATCAATATCAAGTGGCATGTTTCAGTCTCCAAAGAATGCCAAATAACACGCAGTACCCTTCTTAGCAGTTCCATATAGGAATTAAAAAATCCTACATAGACAGGGGAAATACAGTAAAATTGTTTAGTTTTCTATATTTCCTTCCATCTGATTCACCAGAGGCAGAAAAGTCATCAAAATAGCAATTAATATAGTATAAACTCAGGAATCAAATAGCATTTCTTAATTTCTGATGCTGCTCCTTCATATTAAAAATCCTTCCTCTATCCCCAAGTCATCGTAGCACTCTTCACAATTAATACTTTATTAATTATAATTATTAATAAAACCAGTTTGTATAGCTACATATCACTTAACATTTTCTGAATATCTTCTCTTCAGAATTTAGGCTAATACTGTTTTGGTTTAACCAAGTTTTGTGTAAACGGATAGTAATACCCTAACAACTAACATACACCTGAGCACATGAAAAACTAATCAGTTTTTGTTCACCTATGTAAAATATTTGTATAAAGGTATTATTTGGGGGGAAATGTTAATATTCTCTCTAGTTTCCTGAGCTTTATTTAATTTGATAACCGGTTTCTCCTGCATTAATATACAACCTCAATAAACAGTTTGCATGAAAGAAGAAGGCTGTCTGAGGCATAACGGCTGAATAAGCTCTACCATTTAATCTCCTGGTTGTCAATGCAAATTCAGTCCAAATGGATCATGAATGACGTTCATTACAGTTTGGTGACTCTACTGTTTTCTTAAAAAATGATAATCAGTTTGTACACCTCCTCAAATAGCTTCACACTTAGATGTGCTTTTTTTTAGAAGCTCTTGTAAGGAATCCCTGGTCTGAATGTTACTTCAGTAGGGACAAGTCCTTTTTCCTATTCAGCTGAGGCCCAGTGTGGTGTGGATAGTCTTTTCCCTAGTTTACACACTAGTGAGATCCATTAGCAGGACATTTGAGGCTGTTGGTGCCACAGCTGCATCTGCTGTGATAGTTCTGTGGATAAATAGCTTTTTCTTCATGGTTCTCAAAACAATCTGCTCCTTTAAGAACAGAGAAGGAAAAAGAAAGAGCATATTCAACTTGAACATGACCTCTCGGGCGGGGAGGGAGGTGGAAAGGAGAAATGTGCTAGTAAGATTTGAAGCACTTGAAGAATTCTTTAAAAAAACAGCTCTTCTATGCTAACCTTTTTTATTTAACTGTCTGTTCTGTTGCTAAGTTTCATTGATCTTTTAGCCTTGACTGGAAGTGACAGGAATTAGTTTTTATTGATCTGCTTTCCTTTGCTTGAAACAGCTTTATTTATGTTAAAACATGTCCCCCACACCTATTTGCTTAATGGTAAGTGTCCTGTTGTCTCTGCCTGTGAGTGACTACTGAGATAGGTAATTGCATAATTTCTTTTAATTTTTTATTTAAGGGTAAACTGAAAATGTACCAAATCACTTCTGTGCTTTTCATGTTCACAGGGAATTGGTGTATTATGCTGTTAAGTACTGTGAAAAGTCTTTTTGTGGCTGTATTCATTAATATAATTATCAAAAATATATTCTAATAGGCTGCTTTGTTAAGCTTGTTAAGTTCTCTGAATGGTCTCCTCTCGAAAGCAAACTGTAGAATATCCATGCAAAAACAAAGGACAAAGAACAAGGTAGGGCTCCGCTGAGGCAGGCGAGCTGGCAAAGAGGTGACAGTTCACGCTACTAAATGGGAAAACCCAGAAACTAGCTATACAAATTTAGTGAGGAAAAAACCCAACTACATCCATACAGGGGATACAGGGAATGACATGGGATGATCTCTGTTTCAGTTCCTGAAGGAAGATGATTCTGAATAGAGTTGTTGATGGCTGTGGTGGGAAGGGATAATACTTTCAGGATTTAAATGAAATGCTTACTCTCTAAGTTAGAACAAAGTCTTAGTTAGGATGATTTCTGGCTAGATGATATTCATTCTCTTTTCTTTGTAAATGTATTTATTTGTTCTTTCAATCAACAGAAAGTATTCCAGGCAGGTTAATAGTTCATAATAACAGAACGTTTTACTAGAAATCTAACTTACTGCAGTGTCAATTTAAATAGCTTCATAATCCCTAAAACCAAAATCTTCTAGCCATCCTTTTAAGACAATTACGTTTTACAGTGCTCCCAGGAGACTAACGTCTTCCATCTCTACAGGATAAACTCTCAGTTCCAGATTTGTGGTCTTTTACTGTGACTGCCCACCCCAGACATACAAATCTGGGGACTGTCAGCCTGGGCGCCACTGCTGACCTGCACGGCTGCTGTGCAATATGAAGATCTCACAGGCAGACAGTTAATTTCTTTGGTGGATGGACAAGGCTAAATCCTATGCACGCCAATTGTGTGGGGTTTTTTTAAATGTAATGCCTGTAATATTAGTGAATAATGCTTTGGTTAACCATTTCTGACAGGATTTTCAATCTGTTTTGTCATTTCAGCTTTGGTATAACACTGCAAATGTATGACTCATTACAAGGAATGAAATAATTAATGTCCTGGGCTTTTGTTTTGACCTAAAGTTTGGTAGCTATTAAAATTACCAGATTCGCAAACGCGGTGAACGCATCGTCATTTTGCAGACTTCCCCCCACAATGTGATAATGTTTCTGCAAGTCTCTAGTGCCAGGCATGCAGCAGGCTGGGAAGGGAGCTGTGTGGCTAGGTCTTCCATTACAGAGAGACGCCCCAGCGTTGCTGTGTGTCATGACCCTGTCGTGGTCCTCTTCTTCATCATGAGTTGAAAATTCCTGTCTAGAACCTGCATACTTGTGTTAAATTGCCACAGTAAAAAGAGCATTAGTCAATTTGTACAGGCAACCCAGGAATATACAAGGTACCAATAGCCTCTGGTGTGGGGGGTCTGTCTCTGCACCCCTCCCCCCTTCACTCCTGCCCTCCCCAAAGGAGAGAGAAGAATCACCTGTCATCCTGTTTTTCAGCCTGGTCCTCATGTTTATACAGGCCATCCTTTGAATTCACTCAAAGATATCACATTCATGCAGTTATTTCTGATATGAAATCACAGGCAAAGTGATTGCTTGGAGGAATCTTAAATTCTGCATGTTCTTTCCTCTGTAATGGCCAACTCATGATTACCTGTGCGCAGGTAATTATTTAACTTCATTCTTCCAAGACATTAAAATAATAGCGCTAATTTATATGTGGACATTTGTATACTATATGGCAGTCAAGACCTGACTCAGCTGTAACCAATGACCTGCAATCATCCTACTTAAATTGTAGTGAAGAGCCAGACTTGTACTCGATTGCTCTGGTTTGTGTCTTCTCTTAAAAAAGCTACTAATAACTTCAGGGTTTTTCTGTCTTTTGTAGGCGGCTTCACTCCAACTTCCTGCACTGCGACTGCCACCTGGCTTGGCTGTCTGACTGGCTGCGGCAGAGGCGCACTATCGGGCAGTTCACCTTCTGTTTGGCACCTGTAAACCTGCGGGGTTTTCTTGTGGCAGAGGTTCAGAAGAAAGACTTTGTCTGCTCCGGTAATGATGCCAAATATTAATTTATCTATCAGCTGATGGTTTTGTGTTAATAGTCACATAAAAACAGTGAGTGGAAAATTACTATGTTGTTTTTGAATGCCATTTTGTAGCAGTCCTGTTTGTTTTTATCCTTGCTAAACTGTGTGGGAATAGATCAAATTGTTAATTTTTTCAGCTTTGTAAAGATTATTGGATTCCAGTTAACATTTCAGCTCTCAAATTATTTTTTCTACTTTAGCATTGCCAATGATATCAACATAAGAAATCAATTAAGGGTGGATAATATGGTATTTCTCAAGGGAAGAGCTCCACAGCTGACTGGAATACGAAAGAAAGGAAATAGAAAATGCTCATCTGAGTTTGTTGATAAATGATTGGACTATAGAACATGAGGAGCAGATTTTATCCCGGGGACTGAAATAGGATTCTTAGGGAGCCAATGCACTTCACTGCTCTACAAGTTTCCACACTGATAAATGAGGCTGATGATACACGGCCAACTCACAAACCATGTGTCTATATGTTGGGCATAATCATCAATCTCTGGAACTGCACTTGGCTCTTTCATGATAGAAATGCATTTTCTTAAAAGAAGAAAAAGAAAGAAAGAGAGAGAGAGAGGGGGAAAAAAAAAACACCAGAAAAATTAGAAAAAGAAATCTCTGAATTTGGCTGAAAGGAAGAGATCTGGCAGAGGAGAGGCATGGCAGTCTGTGTGCTGTGAGAAAAAAAAAAAAAAAAGGAAGATACCAGACACAAGTTTGGAGATAGTTTTGTAGGCCAAATGGTAAGTAACACAGGAAGCTTGTTATGAAGCCGATGTGAGTCCTAATCTTGATAGACTGTGAGTCTTGTGGTATTGTGTTCTTTATCTCTCACAGCCTGTAAGCTCTAAAGCTTTATCCTCTTGGTACATGGGTTGACTGATGGAAATATAGTACAAGTGCTTGTGCTAGAAATGTTTTTAGGAATGCCTTTTTTCTATAGTTTCATTTACATGTGACAAAGAAAGAGAGAAATGGTTGTACTTAGAGAAGAAGGGTTTGATCCCCTTAACTATATCATGGATGGTAAATTAATGCCCAGCCCTGGAGGTGTGCAGGAAGTGTTATGGACACATGGAAAATGAAGCTGTGCACCAGTGATTTTTGTGAAATGATTTTCAAGAGTGCTGAGCAGGTTCTATGCAGTTGTGGAGATTTGATGATGCCCAGCATATCTGATAAATTGTATCAAAATTTCAACTAAAAGAAAAGTTTAGAAATCTAACAGTCTTGGGAGAGGAAGGATAAAACAAATGGATAAATGAATTAAGCTATTAGCAGAATCTAATTTTACCAAAAAGGTAACCACAGCATTTTTTTCTTATGAAATGAAGTTTCAGATGGGGCATGAGTTCAGCTATTTGGATTTATGATATAGTGAAATGAAGGAAAAAGAGTTGTTTAAATCAGGAGAAGAGATGATAATTGCTGAATGAGAAATGTTACATGGACAGAACTCATCTAAACTCATCTTTCTGTGCAGACTATGACTTCCAAAAGAGAAAAGATTTTTAACAAGTTGCCTGTTGGACCAAGAGCATATAAGAGAACTCTCAAGAATGGCCTGCTTTTTTTAAAAAACATAAATTGATAAAAATTAAAGGAAAGAAGCTTCCAGTGAGACAGTCCATCAACTGTATCCCCTAACCCTCATTTGGGAAATTAAATATACTGAAAAAGAAATGCATTTGAAGAGCTCATTTTAGTGGAAGATTTAGCAGAGAAATCAGCTTAGTACGTGCTAGTTTGACAAAAACCTACATGAACAGCTAGTTTAAAGAGGATATAAATCTTCCCTGCTCCTTATTACAGTTCTTATTCCTGATTTTACAACATAATTTGTTCATGTTTGACTATGAAGTCAAACTAGGACAGGAGGTGAACAGTGAACTGGACTTGTCCCTCTGTAAAGGAATTTTATACAGTTTAAGCTTATATGAATCACCGTAAGTAGCCTCAAGCTGGCAGTGAAAGCTGCCTTTGCATCATAGTTATGAAGAGCTGAAATACAATGTAGTGAACTACTCTGTTTAAGTATGGGCTCAGCATTTCAAGCACTTGTGTTTTTTATGGCAGTGGGAATATCATCACAGCAAAAGAAAACCCAGCTTTTCTTCCACTGTAAAATGGGCTTCATTGGAGCATTCCAGTTCAAAACTTGTGCTGTTGCACGCTTCAAAGCAGAAAGAGTAGAATTAAAAAAATTGGGGAAAGAAGAAAGACATCCTTGAAAAACTGACTTCTGGTTATTCTTTGAATCCTATGCCAAACTAGGGCGGGGGGG